CTTAGGTATGGTGGTCTTCTTCCTGGGAATCACATGCCTGATGTCAATCATCCTGACAATCTCCCCATTATACAAAAGTGATTATGTGGATAAGGAAGCCTTTCATGATAGCAAAAGAGAAGTTGTTACTGATTAAGGTGCTGCTAGGAGACTGCGAGTTCTAGTCCTGTCTTAGGCATGAAAAACTGGCTGGGTGACTTTCGCCTTAATCACTCTCCCTCCACATAATTCACCTTATTGGCTTGTTGTGGGGAAAATAGGAGAGGAAGGGATATTATGCAGTTTGCTACCTTGCTTATAAAGTAATAAAGGCAGGATAAAAATAAAATGAAATAAATAAATGTCACATGCATTAATCTTGAGGAAAAGGACTAATAATAATGGCTCAGAAGAACTTCATTTAGAATAGAATATAGCTGGAAGGGATCTTGGAGGTCCAGCCCCACGCTCAAGCAGGAGAACCTACACCGTCTCAGACAGGTGAATGTCTAGATCTTCTTAAAAATCTCCAGTGATGGAGTGCCCACGATTTCTTGGGGTAAGCTGTTCCACTAGTTGATTGTCCTCACTGTCAGGAAGTTTCTCCTTAATTCCAGGTTGTTTCTCTCTTTGATCAGTTTCCAACCATTGTTTCTCATCCTTCCCTCCGGTGCTCTGGTGAATTTATCCTTTTTGTTGGTTTGTTGATTTCTGAGAGCAGCCTGCAGGGCACTGAAGGTAAATGCAGGTAACTTCAGCTAGGATGCAACTTTTCTAAGCCACAGGATGGCGGACTTGAATGCAAGCCAAAGAGGCACTGAATGGTCCATTAAAATTTTCCACGAAATGAAGGACCTAGTTGTAAAAGCCATAGTTGCCCTATTTTACGACCTTTCTTGCCACAGTTGTTAAGTGAATCACTGCAGTTGTTAAGTTAGTAACATGGTTGTTAAGCGTGTCTGGCTTCCCTATTGACTTTGCTTGTCAGAAGGTCACAAAAGGTGATCACATGATCCCAGGAACCGCAACTGTCATAAATATGAGTCAGTTGCCAAGCACCTGAATTTTGATCATCTGACCATGGGGATGCTGCAACAGTCGTAAGTGTGAAAAATGGTCATAAATCCCTTTTTCAGTGATATTGTAACTTTGAACAGCCACTAAATGAACAGTTGTAAGTTGAGGACTACCTGTATATTATTATAAGATTGCCGCTCTTTTCATAAGCTAGACTAAACACTTGTTTTCCATTTCTTGGACTTCTCATTAGTTAGACTTTGACTAGTTAACCAAAGACAAATAAAGAGATTTTATTGCCACGAGTGCCAACGTAATGCCACTTTTTAAGCTTTCAGTCCCTTCTATGCTCTTCTCTCTGTATACACAGAAAATGACTTACGTACTACTTTATACAAATAATAGCTTTCACTAAGTTCTGTGTAGCTGCATGCCCTACAGAGATAGCATGAAAGCTGCTGTAAGAGAGAGGGAGCAATCTACCCCAGAAAGAACTTGTACCCCTCTGCTTAACAGCAGACCGTCATATACAAGAGTCCCCTTCGGTCTTTAATAAATTGTACTGTATTTCAACTAACTTCAACTTCACTATCTATATTTTCCCTTTTAAAAAAAAAGCTTATCAAGAAAGAGCAGTTCTGGGCTGGCTCAAGTTGCAAGCCTGTCACCTATTCCTCATCTTCAAATGGGCATCACATTACAAGTTTTACTTTAAACTTCAATTTCCAGAAAGGTAATATATTAGTTATTAGTGTAGCTGGAAATCTTCATAGTGTTATGAATGGTCCCGTGAACAGATCTCCAGCTGCTATGTAGATTGTTTGCAATTAGTGACTGGTCAGAGCCGCCCCTCCAGATCAGGTAAGGCAGTGAGGGGCATTTGATAAAAAGAGGATATTGACATTCAGACAGGACAAAAATAATAAAATAACAGAATTGGAAGGGAACTTAGAGGCCCTCTAGTCCAACCCCTTGCTCAAGCATAAAACCCTATACCATTTCAGACAAATGATTGTCCAATCTTTTCTTTAAAGCCTCCAATGTTGGAGCACTCACAACTTCTGGAGACAAGTCAGTCCACTGATTAATTGTTCCGTCAGGAAATTTCTCCTTAGTTCTAGCTTGGTCCTCTCCTTGATTAGTTTCCATTCATTGTTCTTTCCTGCCTTCGGGTACTTTGGAGAATAGGTTGACCCCCCTCTTGTTAGTGGCAGCCCCTTAGAAATTGTAACACTGCTATCATGTCAACCCTAGTCCTTCTTTTCATTAAATCAAACATACCCAATTCTTCTCATGTTTTATCCTCCAGTCCCCTAATCATCTTTATTGCTCTTCTCTGCACTCTTTCTAGAGTCTCAACATCTTTTTTATACTGTGGTGACCAAAACTGGATGCAAAGAATACCTAGGTTCTAAAGGATTCAACACAAAGAGGATAAGATGAATGTATGAGCCATTTGAAGTTATACCAGCAAGAATGATAAAAAGAAACTGCTGTACACTTCATGTCTATGGAGAGTCTCAGTCATCCAGGTCATAGCTGTCCCAAATATGCTTTTTTACGAGGCAACTGGACTTTCTTGTTTTTCTCTGAAGACATTTCACTTACTTCTCATCCAAGAAGCTCCTTCAGCTCTGACTGGATGGTGGGGGAATGGATTGCCTCTTGAAAAAGCATCTTTGGGATGCTGTACCCTTCATTTTCATACCTTGCTACAGAGTAGGAGGCGAAGAGAAACAATTCTCCTTTAGTCCCTCTAAGCAAGGTTCGGGAAGCTTTGTAGTGTAAAGTTCCCAAACCATGTTAATCATGGAAGCCCACTACAAATTCAAGGCAGATTACTGTACTTGGAAGTGATGGGGCATGTCTGCTTTTGCAAAAGTAGGGCTATCATACCTGGGCTACAAAAATCCAAATGACTGCTAGATGGCAACAAAGAAATAGGGTTTCTTGTAACTCTTTACTGTCATTTGGTGGTTGCCACGATTTCAGCAGTCTGGTAGCTCGAGTTTCTGCTTCCACTACAAGTGAGCATTTTTTTCCTCCTAGGTTCACCCCCATCGGATAGGTCCTTGCAAAGAAAGGATCTGACTTTTCCACTGTGGGACATCACTGACCTAATGATGAAGAAACTTCTTTCAATATTCCCCCCCCCCCC